GTTTGAACAGTCCAATTACACAGAAATCCGTACACAATCCTTGTGTATGGTGACTCGACTTGTATATCTTCGTATAGAAATAACATGAATACTCATTGTATTCTACAACTGTTTGAGGTATGCAGTGATTAGAATGGGAAAAATGACTGTAATTTGTATCTTGATTTCATTAGCTTATTATTGTATAGGCCCACATTGCGGTGAACCTAGTCATAGGACAATCAGTTATTAATGTCTTTAAAATTTGAGTGTATGTATATTTTGCATCAGAAAGAGCTGTTACATACTTTGCCACAAAAGAGATATATTTTCGGTAGCTATACACTGTGTAGGAATGCCAAAATGTAATTCTGATACGTTCCATCCAGATCGAGATTATATTTGTGTTCTGGTTGTAAGGTCACTTGATGCTTTGCATATTCAAAATAAACTTTATTTTATATATGTATGTTCATGTGTACTTTAAAGTTTTTATTTTTTATGGCTTATTTTTTAAATGTAAAACATTTTTCTTGGTGAGTCTTTTGTGGTTCGTTTAGTGTGTTACCATATTGTCCATCTTCTGCCATTCTGTTAAATTTGGATTAACTCTCACTGAGGGTTGCAATGTTAAATTAGTATTAAATTTCAATTGAAATCGGCCTAAGGAAAAGCATAACATCAAGGAAGAGGAAGTTGTGTATTGTAATTACCTCACTCCTTCGTCGTGTAAATTCCATACTCATAACCGTTTATAAATGTTTCTAAGATCTAATTTGGTAATCTTAAATCTGACAAAATTCAATCCTAAGTTGCTTTCTGTAGCAAGGTCCAATCACTGAAACTATATTGTGTTTCAAGATAATTATTGTGTGTCCTACTTCACACTGGGTATGTAGAATAATTCTATACTGTCACATGGAGCAGAAGAAACTAATCGTCCAATGAGACTTGCATCATAATATGAGTTAATATGAATTTTATTTAGATAAAAAAAAAGGCGAATTAAAAAAAAGTCATATCTAATAGAAGAATTCTACTGCGTGCAAAAAGAGGACAAGTTTGTGATGAATTCTGGCTTTCTCAAAATCATTTCATGCTTACAATTAACTTTTGGTAGCTGAACAATCAGAAAATTAGATCACAAGAATCCAGAAGTATTTCAGCAAAGAGCTTTATTTCATCTTCAAACAAGGCCTTGTCTCTTCACTCATAGCAAATCACTTCAATTGTATTTCCAAATACCTAATTATTGCTAAGGATTCTCTCCAAGTATAATGGATTTACGTATCATATTGTGGTATGTAAAACACATAGTTTCTTTTCATTTTAGGTTAGAATGATGAACATTCTTTTGTTCGCCAAAATTTAAAATTGTTTTGCACTAACATGCGTTTGGCACATTTGTTGAATACCAGCCAATTTTGAAATGAAGCGACCTTATTCATACGATGGTCACACATTATCAAGCGTTGTTACATCTTTGGTGTATGTAAATTTTTTTTAAGGTAGATATCACTAAAAAGGTGTTTAGATTTTTTGCTAATTTTCGTCTAGTGACATCAGTCATGTAGAGATTTTAAAATACACGATGACTTTGTCTTTCCTACTTTTACTAAAGAGATGGCCAAGTGAAAAATGTATTGTGGAAGATTTCACCTAATTCGATTTAAGTTTATTTTCACAGCCTTATCCACATTATTATATTCTCCTGGCAAATGTATTTCCACGTCTAGAAAAGAATGTGTGATTGTCTCTTGTCTAGTGGACTTGTCAACTGATCGAGTGGTCTTTTACTGTTTAATAAATATTTTTGTTTTAATAACAAAAGTTGGTCTCTTTCCTCAATTTAGTCAGGTCAGAATGTAGTTTAACTCCACAATATATTTTCTAATGAACATTCGGGTAGAACGGGAACAACTCTTACACGTAAGAAGTCAGTGCAACTAAGAATACCACAATCTCTTGAAATTTCGAGTAAAGTAGTGACTTCATAAATAACTTTTAAGTTATTTTGTTAAGTAGAGATTTGTATACAGTACCTTTTTGCATAAATTTAAAGTTCAGTATTTCTGTGTAGTACCTCATGTGTTTAACTGTTCTATCTTTCAGTATTTTTCTTTTGCTAATGAAGTTGTCTTTTACTAACAGACAGATAGATCTTCTAAATAATTGGGTATTCATTCTGCAATCCAATGACAGACAGCTAAGAATAAGGATAATTTTATCTATATTAACTTGTAAACAATGAGCTTCAGCTACATGAACTATAATCACAGTTGTAATTCCCAATTACTTGGTGCTTGTGGTTTTTATCTTCAATTTCACTTCTTAGTTCATAAAGATTAATTGTTTTTTTTTATTTAGACATGAAACTATGTGACTTGTGATTACTTCTAAAAACCTTTTCTGTTGTTTTAAACTACTAACTTACTTACAATATTTTTCAGTTAATCTCCTGCAAGGTATATCTTGAAAAGGATCTTTTTCATCAATGAATAAATCATCTTGAACATATACAAGTCTTTACTATTGGATCACTTTTGAACATTTCAAAAGACAAAAAAATGCATTACATACATAGTTTTGGATGTTGGTTGGTGGTCCTACTGGCATAATATATAGAGCAACTTCATCTATAAGCCAAATTCAATTTTTTGAACAAGTATGAAATATTAAGTAATCCAGACTCATGCTAAAATGCTTAGCACTTTTTAATAAAATGGTGATTGGGATATTGAGTAAATAATAGTTTTCTAAAATTTCTTTACAATACAGAGTAAAAAATTACACATAAAAGACAAACTCATAAGTGCTTCCACTTACCATTTTTGTAAGTATTATTAAAAGTCACAATTCTTAATTTACAATATTATGATTTTTCAGTAAATGTGTTCAAAAATAATTTCATATAGATTAACAACTTTCTAACTTCTGAAGCCAAATTTTTAAGATTATGGTTTACATATGAAAGTAAAACCTTGTGCTGTTCACATGCATATTTAAAGATAAAAATGATTACTGAATTTATCACTAAAAATAGTTTTGAGCATTGCAAAGTTTTTAGCTTTGTCAAGTGTACTGAAACTCATAGCAAAAACATACAAGTTTTAACTGCAAAACTATTTACTACAAATCAGTTTAGTAGGTTATGCAATTGTAAAAGAAGTTACTCAATGTAATCTTACAAACTAATATATTTTTCTATATACAAGTATTTGTTAGATTTTTCTTTGCTCAAAAACTAGACCATACACATGTTACTATGTAAGAAATTAACATTTTAATTAACCACAAATTACTAAATAAAATGAGACATTTATTACCTTGATAATATTGATAATACAAGAAAATAGCCTACAGTTATATATCATCCACTGTAAAATATACCACACAGTACACTTCATAAATGAAAAGCAAAGGAACAAATTCAAAATACTTTTGTTGTGCATATTGCATGTATAGTGTATAATACATGTTCATAATAAAATGAAATATTCAGTAGCTGAAAACATCATGATCTAATTTCAAAATAATGGCCTTACAGTATAATTATTTGCTACTTAAAAGTCATTAATATGATTTGTAAATTTTTTCACAAATGAAACTGAATTTACAAAAAGTGTGAAAAAATTATCATATTTTTTATACTTTTCTTCTTTTAGAAGCAGACAAGATGAAAGCTCTTAAAACATGAACTGCTATATTCTTTTAATGGAGATTTTAATCTAGATCACTAAGAGGTTTATTAAATGTTTCACATACGTATTAAAACACTTTTATTAAGTATGAAACACCCTGTAATTGCAATTGATAATGTTCTTACACTGTGAAGTTTGTGAACATTGAAAACATATTTCATACAAAAAAAAAGCATTCTGTCTAAAAACAGAAATTTCCATTCACTTGTCCTTTAATTTGTAAAGAAACCTGTTAGGATTAGAAGCCTGTAAAATTAGGCAACAAAACAGTAATACAACAAATTAAACATATCATAGTCAACATACACTATTGGAAATAATATGCTTTTCAATATAAAAACTGAGATGTAAAAATTATATTTCAAAAAGGAATATTTTAATATATTCAACATTTATGGTCAACTACAAGTCATTTCACTATTTTGGTATAATTTTGCACCTTACACAAATGGATGTAAGATTTAATTACAAAGTTTAAACTATGAACATAATTTTCACAAAAATATTTTTAATCCTCACATTTTTATTAATCATACAAATTGCATTTCAAATTATGTAGTTCCTCAGAAAAATTGGTGTTTAAGAAAATATATTTCACCGACGCATAATATTCATTGTACGTACAATAAACAGAAAATTGTAAGTTAGACGGTCTATTACTGTTTTTTAAGCAGTTGATGGCAAGCATTTTTAATCCTAACATTTCTATTAATTATACAGGTTTCTTTTCAAATTATTGTTTATTTAGTTTTATTTAAAAATACAAATATAAAAATTGATGTTTAAGAAAATATATTTTACTAACACACATAATATCTACTGCATAACCAATAAAGAAAATGTTTCCTGGTGAGATGGTCTGTTATAGTTCTTTAAGCAGATAACGGTGAGCAGTAATAACCTCCATGTTGATTATTCTACCAAAATAACAGACAGATGATACAATTCCACACATAACTATCCATACACTGCAAAATGACTAAATGCAGTAGAATTACATATAAAGGCACTGAAATGATTAAGTGGAAGTTAAAAAAGCAAACATTAAAACTGGAAAATTTAGCTCATGATAAGTATTTAAAAGATACTGAGATACAACAGTGTTGGTGATTATGCTTTGAAATCTCAAACAATGACAGAAACAGCAGTAATGGATCTAACTGATTGAATATTAATCTCATCTTTAATAAACTATCACTTTTAAATGTATTTTTGTTTATTTGTTTGTTTGATTTTGAATTTCGCGCAAAGCTACACAAGGGCTATCTGCACTAGCCATCCCCAATTTAGCATGCCTTCCCTCTAGTCTTACACGGGATTGACCGTCACATTATAATGCCCCCACGGCTGAAAGGGTGAGCATGTTTGGCAGGACGGGGATTTGAACCCGGGACCCTCAGATTACGAGTTGGGTGCCCTAACCACTTGGCACTGCCAGGCCTGTATTTTAGTTTCACAGTTTATGTTTTGTTGTTATGCACAAAGCTGCACAATGGACTATCTGTGCTGTGCTCACCACAGGTACTGAAACTCAAATTTTAGCCTTATAAAATTATTCAAAATTTAGTGAAAAGTCTATGCAAGTCACAATTATAGTAAAATTATGGTGAAAAATTTGCTGTTTTAGTAAGTGATTTAAATTTAGTAAAACAACAATAATAGAGCTCTTATGATTCAAAATATTTTGATATTTTCTTCAAAAAATCTCACTTTTCAAGAGATTAGTACATTACATTTACAATGCAAATGCATTTTTGAAACATGAAATCACCACAAATAGGGTTTTTAACTAGTCAGTTTAAAAAACAAAAACTAAATTAGCTCATAAACTACTAGAAAATTAATGTAATGCATTATTATACCTCATAATTTGGCTTATCCACATACTTCAATCAAATATCTATTGTTGCTGTACTTTTAGCAATCATAATTCAATATACATTTTACTTTTACTCAGAACTTTTAACATTTGAATTTACCACTATCATTAAGTGTGAACAGCACTAGAAGTTTAACATAACTTATAACCTCAAGTGAATAAGACAAAGAGCTCTTTTTTGTTCTTTAGTCATTTTGCTCTAACAGAAACTACATTATTAATACACACCTTTTAATGATATGGCATAATACATACATACATCTCCACAAATACAAGACAAAATAATGAAATAAATCTCAAAACAGATCTGGAACTAGAGACTGTTGGTCCATAAGAGGTAGGACTGTTTTAACTAAAGAAACTTCTTGGTTTTAGTGAGTACTGTCTTTTATTCCCTGATTGTGTTAAAAATTTTTAGTTTGTAAACTATTAGTAATACTTTGAAAGACTAATCTAAACAAACCTATTCAGAATTAATACTATGAATACTTCCTTGCAGTTTGGTAATGATAACATTAAAGTTGTGAATATAAATAATTTTTGTAGCTTAATAATTCATCATACATTAATATCAAAATTCTTGCAGTCAAGCATTTGGATTTGAGTTAGTTTTACCATTCTGAATAGTCTGCAATTAAATTATCACAGAGTGGCCTAAATACTACCCTTTATTTACAGCAACACGGGTCTCATTGTTATGATAATTTAATTGCAATCATACCACATAAAGTTGAAACTGAATTATTGCAATAAATAGGCTTTCTTTTGTGTAGTTTTAATGTTCTTAAATAACTGATATTATGGTGCCAAGGATTGATTTATGGGTTTATATAGTAAATATGAATGTTAATTTTAGAAATGTAAGTAGGAATAAATAATAGCATTATTACCATTATCATATTTTTTAATAATCAAAAAATCAAGGATTGACCTATTAACAATTCTTAAGAGTTTACAACAAACTAAGCACATGTAATCGGGTCTTAAGAATAGTTTTTAGTATTCTATTACTTATCACCTATTAAAGTTTTTTTCTTGTATTTTCATAAATCTGTTTTCAGAAAAAAAAGTTCCATTGTTTTTAGCTCTTTATTAACCCTAAAAAATTGTATTATTTCAAAGAAAACTAGCAAGCTTCATTTTAAGTGAACTATATATATTGTATTCCTAACTTTCTTGGAACTAGATCAATCCCTAGTGATATAAAAAAATGATTAAAGTTTTACAAGGTTTGCTTGATGTTGAAATAAATTGCACTGAATTTAAAAAATCTACAAAAAAAGATGATGCTATATGAATTATGCTTATAGATATTTAAATAAAACTTTTTGCACTTTCTCACCCATGGCACAATACATATACTTAATCATTTCCTAACACACTTCTGTTATTTGTATTTCAAGTACATTGACAGGTTTTGTTTGTCCTGGTTATGTCTATTACTACAGTTTTCTCTTATGAGAACCTATACTCTTGAAAACAGTATCTTCTGAAAAATGCAAACTAGTCTTAGCAGAAATGAGTACCAAAAAAAATGATTAAAAAAAACACACAATACACAGTCTACATAGGTACAATGTGACAGTGGGATGAACTTCTACAGAGAAATAATATTTACAGACCAATCTCAATACATCTGTGGGAGTTTATGTCCCATTCTTATTCCAAAAGGCCATCTCATACAAGAGCAACTGGAGTTGGCCACAAGTAAGCAGAGAATACAACACTCTAATCTACCATTGCCTGATGACTAGGTGCTCTTGCATCTGGCCAAATGAGAATTACATAATGGGTGAACTTTGTTGATCCATTCATTGTTATGAACTAAAGAGCTGTAACAGGGTAATTCACAAACTTCTCTGAACCAAGATGTTGAATTTCATCCACGTTGCCAGCATCAGTGGGATTGGCTTTACGGTTACCTCCAGGATTGCCATGGTTACTTTGTGTTCCTGGGTTGCAGTATTTCTTCTTACACCAACGAAACAAAAATACTCCTCCAATAATTAAACATCCAAAGAGGAAAAGACAACCAATTACTACACCAATGATGATTCCAATTGGCACTGGTTCCACACCTGAAATTACAATATCAATAAATTATTTTTCTAAGTTCATAGATCATCTTGAAAAGAAAAAAGGAATTTTATAACATTTCATAACCCTTTGTATGAAAAAAAACTAAAAAAAATGAATCATTTGTCTCTATTTTGCACAGTTGACATGTTCATTTATAGCTTTTATGATCTAGTAAATGCTATAATATACATATATCTTTTGTACTATAGATGCAAAAGTTTATAAAGCTTTTATGTCCTTTATCTGGTGGAAAGAACAATAAACATAACAACAACAAATCCAATATTATAAAAGAAAAACTCAGTGATGTTTTTAGTGAATTAAATTAAAATGATTAAAATAAACATACTGTTTTCACTCTGTACTTTTAATAGTATCCTTTCAACGCAATTTTAAACAATGTGTTCAACCTGAACACATGATTAAAATAAACATACTGTTTTCACTCTGTACTTTTAATAGTATCATTTCAATGCAATTTTAAACAATGTGTTCAACCTGCACTGCATTTCATGGACTTCTCTTATTATTTGGTGTAAATTAAAATATTTCAAGATTCATAACGTGTTTTGATGAAATGTCTTCTCAACATTAAACCAAAGTTGGCAAAATATATAAAACACTGTCTACACCTTTTGATAACACAGTTATTGAACTATTTTAATACTTATAGCATAAAATTTGGTTTACCACAACATTGTTACTGCTCCAGCAGAAAAAAACAAACACAAACCTGTATATTACTACTTACAAAAACATCATGCAAGGAACATACCAAAAGCTGTCTAACAACATTATTTATATTACACGAATGTTACATTGTTCTTTGTGTAAGTAAAGTTGCTCATATGAGTGAGCTAGCTTTATGCTTTTCAGTTCATACATACATATCAATATGCTTTTGTGGATTTGTAACAACACAAAAAATTCATTAGCCCATTTCACAAGCTGATACAATATTTAGTAAGTTGATATCAAAAAACAAAAGTGTAGTCACAATAACATATTGTACTAAATTGCTGTAAAAATGGCCGCCACAGTTGATGCCTTTCATACATAGTAACGTTTCTGCAATTGAAATAAAGATAAAATTTAAGCTAAATACACTTTGAATGTTTTAATAATTTCTGAGAGACTAAGTGACCGGTATTACTCTACTCTTGAAACAAACAAATACAAGTAAAAAATCTAATTAAAAATATGATTACAAAACATATTTATTCAACATTATTTATTTTCAACAAATTACTACACTTTTAATTAACATATTTTGAATATACAAACTGAAATAAAGTTAATATAAAAACATATAAAATAATAAATACATTCAAAAACAGTTATAGTTAATTCTTTGATATTCCAAACACTTAATGAACACAACGTATGTACTGTCTTGTTACTTACTGCAGTGAATAAATATTTACATTGGATTTGAAGAATACATTACACTGATTCTTCTAAGTTGTTCAACAGTCAAGTTGTTTAAGATACTAAAAATAAATGTAAAGTCTAGTTTTTATCATTCACTACTAGTCACTGAATTATGCCAGATTTAGAGAATTCCATCTCTCATCAGTTACCATGAACAAAAGCAAATGACTAGGTTTGTTAAAGCAGTGAACAATATATACTAAGTACAATGTTTAGTTGCCTTTTACTTACCACAGTGAACCTGTATTTATATAGAATTTGTTGAATACATAGCAGTGATACTATTAATTAATTCTTCTAAATTATATAGGAGACGAGCTGCTTAAGAATATTAAAAATAAACATGAACCCAATCCATCATTTCATTCACCAGTTGTCACTGAGTCATAACAGTTTCAGGGAATTCCACCCTTCATCAGTAACCCTTGACAAAGACAAACTGAAAAACAAGACTAGGCTTTTTTATACTAGTGTACTAATAAGAGGACTATTACTATTTTTGGCAGACTGTTACACAATATAAAATTATTTTAGAAATATGCTAATATTTTGAGGTTCAGCAGTAATCCAATGATAAGTTCCTTGTTATGGAAAGTACAATTAACATCTTGTAACCACTTTCAACTGTTTACTTAAACTCAAGACAGAAATTTATAAAAACGCTTTTAACAAAGTAATATTAAAAAATATTAATATACTTGGAAAATTTAAAATCTTCATAGTAACATTATAAAAATAAGCTTAAAGAAGTTAGTGAAGAATTCCCAGCCACCACATTAACATTCAAAAACAAAACTTCAGAAAGTTAGTGAAGAATTCCCAGCCACCACATTAACATTTAGATAAAAAAACTTCAGAAAGTTATGTAAAGAAGTTCCAGCCACCACAGTAATATTCAGAAAAACTTTAGGAGATTAGCAAAAAAAAATTTAACCAAAGCACATTAATATTCAGAAACAAAAAAAAAGCTTCAGCATATTATCAAAGAATTTCAGACCACCATAAAAATGTTCAGATGGTTAATGAAGAATTCTAATTATCAAAGTAACACTCATAAAATAAACTTTTGTAAGTTAATAAAGATTTAAAATCCAGAATAGTAAAATACACAATAACAGCTTCAGGAGGTTAACATATCATTCAAAGCCACTACTGTACTCCCACAAAATGAGCTTCAGGAAGCTAGTACAGAATTCCAAGTCACCACAGAAGCACACAGATAATAAACTTTACAAGGTTAGTAATTAATTTCAAGACAAAATAGAAAAATGATCTCCAAGTAGCTAATATATGATTCTAAACTGCCAAAATAACACACAAAATGAGCTTCAGGAGGTAAGTATGTAATTAATTAACAAGCCGACATCAGCTCAAGATGGTTAATAATATATGGTTTTAAGCAACCAAAGCAATGCACAAGAAATTAGCTGGATTACAGGATTAAGTAGCAACAAGATATGATCTCCAGGTGGTTAATGTATGATTCTAAGCCACCCAAGTAAGACACACATTGGAAACAAGTTTCAAGAGGATCATACAGGATTAAGTAACAAGATATGATCTCCAGGTTGTTAATATATGATTCTAAGAACCAAAGTAATACACATACACACAAAATGAGCTTCAGGAGGTTAATACATGTCTTACTGCAGAAAGACAAAGAAAATGGATTTCAGGAAGCTAATAAGTAATTCCAAGTTACCACAGTAGCACATACTAAATGCATTTATGGAGATTAATATGTTGTACTTGATTCTCCACCACAACAGTAACAAGTTAGGCACAGGTAAAGCTTCAAGAAATATAGTCTCACAAACTATGTAAAAACATGGCTTATGGGACAAGTAACAAGAAAGCCCTTATTGTGCAAAGAGACTACTTTTGTGAAAGAACAAGTATTGTGGTCTTTGGAACAATGGCAAAAGGTGCTTTGAACAGTCAAGTGTAATATATAATTTGAAGGTACCACAGTAGCACATAATGAAGGAGTTTATGGAGATTAAAATGTTATACATATATAGCAGTGTTCCCAAACTTTAAATAGTGGTTTCCTCCTAACTCAGCAAAGTTTCTGTTGCTCTCCCCCTTCACATTAAAATAATTTTGCCAAGTAATAACAGCAAAATCAACATTTTCTTTAGTTGCTTTTAATAATTTTTTAAAAGAAAAAAAAATGCTTAAGCTTTGGGAACATAATGACAGTTTTGTCAGAGTATCACCATCTCCAACAATTTTGTTTCTTCTATCATTTTTGGGCTCTCCCACCAAAAGCCCATCCCCTCCAGCCACCAGTACATGCCCCTTTAGGTAGGCATGCCCCACACTTTGGAAAACATTGTTGTATATGATTCTAAACCACAATAGTAACAACATGAATGAGCTCCAGGGTGTTATTATGCCATTTGTAACCTATTGTGGTAAGATACGGGAGACACTTTATGAGGTTAATGACAAATTTCAACACACAACAGTAAAAACATAATGTGAACCTCAGGTAGTTAATATACCATTTTTAACCTACTGCAGTAGTAAGATGCAGGAAAGGCACTTCATGAGGTTAATGACGTGTTTCAATCCACAACAGGAAATAAAACTTCAGGTGGTTAACATAAGATTTCAGAACACTTAGGACAAGATAGTTAACGCAGAATTTGAAGAAACCTCAGAAACACAGTTACACCCAGTATATGATTTTAGTCAAAAACTCAACATGACCACACCAAGACCCAGAACACAGACGTTGCATTAGCTGTGCAAAAACTTACAGATTGGTAGCTTGCTTACGTCCCAAAAACCAGTTGGTAAACATTTTAGCTTTGCATTGCCACGAAGAGAAAAGCCTGCTTTACATTGATATGTTACCACTTGATCAACTGGAAAAGTGTTTCCTCCATTGTGAAATCCATTGTTGATTTCTCCAGGATCTCCACATTGTACTGCATGCACAAAACAAATAATACCTAAACACTAGACAATGTGAGCTATAAATAAACTTTTAACAATAAACACAGGTTTTAATTTCCTTCACATTTTGAATCTCTGATGTTCGTTATAAAGTTTAATGCACTTGGAAGCAAATTAGAGTTATTCTTAAAAAAATTTTTCATGTTGCTTATTTAATGACTTTCATAGGTTCCTACTGCTAAATATTCTTACCTGTTAAATGATTACTCTTTATACTATTTTATACATGTAACTTACAACTGTAAAGTTAATAGTACATAGAAAAAATGTTAAGTCATATTTCCACATAAATAATTTGCTTTCTATGCAAACATATGTGCTGTATTATGGAATCTGTGTGATATTACTATATTTTGTTATAGTAAACATGATTCCTAGCTAAAAAAAGTCTTCACATTTACATTTTATGTTTTTATCTAGTATTTTCATCATTATACTTCAAACTAACAAGTGTGTAAAAACTGGAAGTATGCTTTGTGACAATAACTGTAAAATCTGAAAAGGAAAATATATGAAGGGAGAGTAAAAAACACAAATTTTATGTCCAAACTGTAAATAAAGGGTACAACAAAATGATTCTCAATAAAAAATACTTCACAGAAGCTTAAAGTACACATGTTTGACTGACCTTTTGATATGTTATTATTAGTTTCGTTGATGGTAGCTGCAATTTGAGTGGGATCAACTGAAGATGATGACACTGTGGATGAACTGGTGGTGGTGCTGCTACTACTACTACTACTACTAACTATAAGAATGACAGAAAAAGTATAAAACTTACTAATTTTTTAATGCCAAATAATTTGATATATATTACAATGAAACTTGTCTAAAGGTATTTTTTTATAAAAGCATGTGTTTCAAAACCAAACTGATACCTATATGTATTCACCAAATATTACAGGAAACAGTACCCATTCTGTATGATAATTTTTTTTCTATTTTCTTTTGATTAATATGTAATTCACTTATTTCCAATTATGCAAAAACAAAATTTCACTTCATAAATAGTTTTTAAAGCTTCCTTATTTTAAATTTGTATTTTGATATATAATTTATATGCTCTTGTATTCAGTTGTGCACAACACAGCCCACTGAAATGACATGTCTGTCTTAATTAACTAACTTAACTGACCTGGGCACACTGGAGGATTTCTATTCCAAGATCCATTCCCTTGGCATTTCACAGTTTTTGGTTTTTTCTCCTCCTTCATTACAAATGTAGATGATTAGACTTCCAACCTTGTAGTTATTTTTTGAGATATCATAAATGCGACCTCCAGGAAGAACAGGCTCAGGACAAGTTATTTCTGATAAAAGAAAATAATTAATGAAATAAGAAAGATATATTTATAGCATACAAATCAATTAAAAAATTCACCTGTTGAGTGTAACATGAAGCTAAAAGTGAATGATGTAAGAATGGTTCATGTGGCCACAGAATACTACTGTGTACATTTAGGGAAAGTTTCACAGTGATGGCTACTAAGGAATGCTTTTCAAATTTTCTAATCTGTATTAAGATGGAATAGATGGTTTGTAAGATTTAAATGTTTCAATAATATTCTCTTAGTCAGATCAAGACATATTCTAATAAGACAATTCCATATATACATTATCATAACTTAGGTAAAA